TATAGAGACCTTAATCAAGCTTGGACCTTGTTGTCCCCCTTGAGGGGCTTCACCACCTCCCATGTGAAGTCGGGGTCATCTCTGCCAAAGTGTCCATATGCTGCAGTCTTCAAGAACCTGTTATTGCCACCTCTCTTGAGGTCAAGATTGATGGAAATCATACCAGGTCTGAAATCAAAGCTCTCCTTCACAATCTGAAGGATCTCTTTGTCAGGAATCTTTCCAGTTCCATATGTGTCTACAAATACTGACAAAGGCTCAGGAACACCAATAGCATAGGAGACCTGAACAATGCACCTCCTAGCAAGCCCACTAGCGACAATGCTCTTGGCGGCCTGCCTGACAATGTAAGCTCCACTCCTATCCACCTTGGTAGGGTCCTTTCCAGAGAAAGCACCACCACCATGAGCACCCCAGCCACCATAAGTGTCGATAATAATCTTACGGCCAGTAAGACCAGCATCACCATGAGGACCACCAATGACAAAACGACCGGATGGGTTCAGATGGAAGATAGTCTTCTCATCTAAATACTTTTCTGGGATCACAGGCTTGATGACATGCTCCTTGAGATCAGCTGCAATCTCATCATTTGTCACGGTCTCATCATGTTGAGTAGAAATGAGAACAGTGTGGACACGGACAGGAACCATGGCTCCATTCTCATTGTAGTACTCAACAGTAACTTGGGTTTTTCCATCAGGCCTCAACCACGCGCAAGTTCCATTCTTGCGAACCTCAGTGAGGCGAGCACCGAGCTTGGTAGCCAAAACATGGCTCAAAGGCATCAATTCGGGGGTCTCGTCAGTGGCATAGCCAAACATATGGCCTTGATCACCAGCACCAATCTCTTCCGGCCTCTTGGAGAAATGGCCATGCACACCCTGAGCAATATCAGGACTTTGTTGCTCAATGTTAACTAGAACCTTGCAATTGTCGGCATCAAGACCCACATCATCAGATGTGAATCCAATGTTTCTGCAAGTATCACGCACAATCTTCTCGTAATCTACGTTAGCCTTGGTGGTGATCTCGCCAAAAACCATGACCATGTTGGTCTTAGTGCAAGTCTCGCATGCCACCTTGCTGTCAGGGTCTTGTGCCAGGCAAGCGTCGAGTACAGCATCAGAGATCTGGTCACAGAGCTTATCTGGGTGTCCCTCGTTCACTGATTCAGATGTGAATAGGAAAGTCTCTGCCATTTCTTTCAAGCTGCACATAGAACAAATAAAACCCCATCATTAAATAACTCAAACACAACTAATAGCACTGGATTTAAAAATCAATGACTACTTCCTTTTCAATTCATTCAAAGCCCCATTAGCCCTTACCCTCACAAAATCCCTCTTTTCCACGACGCAAACAGGATTATTCCCGAAAAGAAAATCTAACTAGCACAGACAAAATAACATAAATTATTTAAGCCTAAGTTCGTTCGTTCGAAGGATAAAAAAACATTATTGCATAACATTAACTATTCAGATCTAAAAAGCTCCACCATTAACAACACAGAATTACGCAAATAAACTCGGATCTAAACAAGCAACTAACGATAAACATGGGCGTGACAAGCACGACTGAAACTCAATTTTCAACATTCAACATATAAAATCCCGAAAGCAATCCATAAAAACAACAAATCAAACCCGTATTAACCCACAAACACATTAAGATCCAATGACCCAGTAACTAGAAAGACAGGAGCTACCAACCTCGAGAGGAGGGTATAGAGGAGAGAGAGTTGAGTTGCTGCTTGAAAGAAAATGGGGAGTTCCCTCTTCTTGTCAAGCTAAAGCTATGCGAGTTCAGAAGGAGAGGCAAAGGTGGTAATTTATAGGCAAGTGCAGGCTGGCCCTGAAAAACGTAATTTGGACTAGATTCATTCATTTATGTGTAATTCACAAGTCGCTGTTCGATCCAATGGCTGATTTTCATTTTTTGTGTTTTAATCGCAGCCCTTGAAAGCACGCTTTACGCGTTAGCAATGCCTGATAGGCGAGAGAAACGCCTTCGGTGGAGGATAGGATAAATCACTTACGGTCCCTCAGCTTCAAAATTTGATTCAATTAACTTTCTTACATTACTTTTCGTTAAATTCAACCCTTTCAGGACCGGATAGAAATAATTTTGTTTTCTAGTGCGTCTTTCTAAAAGGAAAATGATGTCTATAATTATTTTTTTAGATTCAAAAAACTTACTTCAATGCTATCTACAATATTAATAAATATTCCAAACTTATTCAATATAGACTTTATATTTTGGTGCTAGAGACAGAGAGCAAATTTAAAACGTGCACATTTTTTCTTTTATTTAGGATAACTTTATTTAGTTTAAAACGTGCACATTTTTTCTTTTATTTAGGATAACTTGATTAATTAACAAAAAAAAAAGAAAAAGAAGAAGAAGAAAGGTAATGATATTGAACTTTGATTTTCTTTTAAGTTGAACAATATATTTATTGATTTTTATTTTATACAAGTGAATAATGATTTTTTATTTTTTATTCTGACAACTATTTATGAATTACCATCATAAAAACTTTCAAAAAAAACTTTTAAATTAGCTTTTTGGAGTAGTTGAGGATACATGTTAAATGGTTATACAACAGTTGGAGTAGTTGAGGATACATGTTAAATGGTTATACAACAACAGTGGATTTTTTATTTTTTATTTTGACAACAATTTATGAATTACCATCATAAAAACTTTCAAAAAAACTTTTAAATTAGCCTTTTTGGACTAGTTGAGGATACATGTTAAATGGTTATACAACAGTGAGTTTTTAAAGTATTTTTTATTTAAAAATATATTAAAATAATTTATTTATTTATTTAATAAAAAATATTTTTTATAACAACATATCAAAACAATAAAAAAACATCAAAATAAATAATTTGAAGCAAGAAAAAATCAAGAACCTTAAAAAAAATTAAAAACGCAATTGGAACACAAAAACAAATCCTGCCTAGGTATGAAAATGGACTTAATTATTGGTTATCTGAAAATAAAAGATTTAATTTGGCTGTAAATAAAAAAACAAGGACTTGTTTTACTAAATGTTGGCAGGTAAGATTGCACGATCTGATTTTTAAGCACGCTGGAGATTATAGCTGGTAATAACTGTCGAGGGACAAAAAAAAACAAAAACAGGACGCGTCGTCGATGAGTGGACCATCACTTGGACTTTTGTTTTTTTATTATTTATTTTAATAACCCATGACTTGGGCTGTTATGCTTGTATCCTGACTGCCAAGCCCACTTTGCAGTCACCAGTGTTTGTCGTTGTGTTCCTCTTTATATTTTAAAAATATTAAAATAATATTTTTATATTTTAGTTTATTATACATCTTAAAAATGTTTTTTAATTATTTTATTTTAATACCATATTATTAAAATCATTAAAAAATATTTTTTATATAATTTAATATTTTTTTAGATTAAAATAGCTTATATAGGGAAAAAAAACAATAAAGTATATTTTGCAATGAAATTAATTTTGAATAGATGAAATAAGAAAAATATTATAAAAAGCACAACTAAAAATAAAAATGTTACTGTTACTGGTACAATGAACAGTAACATGTGAGGCGGAGAGCTATGATTTCCCCTCCTCGATTAATTAATCCTTTTCGATATTTCTTGGACGATGACGGGGCTCTACGAGAAGACTTCAGCTTCTTTGAAACTCGTAACAAAACAAATTAAGGGTCAGCATTTGGTGCGGATCCACCACCCCGAAAATTAAGAGTCTGAAAATACAAAAAATTAAAAATTAAAAAGAAAAAAAATCTCAAAATCTTTCGCTATAAAACGATAGCAGCAATGTTCAGAATTTTGTATTATATACAAGGCCACTTGTCAGTATAAATATGGTTTTTCTATTATTGTCTGGGAAGTGGACACTAGTTTTCCTCTCCTCGGTTGGTGAGTTAAGATACTTATTTTTTAAAAGTATTTTTTATTTTAAAATATTTTAAAATATTTTTTATTTTTTTAAAAATTATTTTAATATTAATATACTAAAATATTAAAAAATATTAATTTATAACAAAGAAAAAAATTAAAAAATTTATTTAAAAAACATTTTTTAAACAAAAACAAACTGCGCATGAAATTGAATTTGGATGATACTCTCAGTCCCTCACCAACCCCCCGCCCCTCGATCCACCAACCCCAGGGGAAAAAAAAAACTATAATTGACATCCAATTCAAAGAATATAAAATAATATATAAATTACAACGCGTAGGCGTGCCTATTGCCAGTTCAATTTTCTCACCACGCGCTCTGCAAATCCCTGTACAGAGAAGCATTCTTGTCGTTGATAGATTGAACTTCGAACGTGACAAGCTCATACCATGTTTAATATTAATCCTGTCGAAGAAATTTTTTTTTTTTTTAAATCCACACTTGTTTCCCTTTGTGTTCTCTCAGCATTCAGATTGTGCTCTTCCACTGTTATATCTTCTTCTTATTTAAACGGCAGTTTTTCTATGAAGTTAGTTTTTATTTATCAAAATAGACTTTTTATTTGGGTTTTACCTGAGTGATTCATATCCAAACTATTTTATTTATGTATAAAACAATATACTAATAATTTATTTTTTTGAAATAAAATCATAAATGATGATTTTTATTTTAAAATACAATCTTAAATAATAATATAAGAATGATGCATTTAACATCTAGTTAAATAGTATTTTATTTTTATTTTTAAAATAAAATCTTAATATCACGTAAAAATAATCTAAAAATATATTAAAAAAAATTAAAATAAAAAATATACTCTTTTAAGAAAACAACCGGCTTTGGCAGACACCATGTCATTTCAACAGGGGAAAAAGTGCAGGCCCATACAGACGTTATTGATTGGGCCTGATTTAGACCCAGTTTATGAAGGCCTGCCCATCCCCACCGTTCAAGAAACGACAATACTACAAGCAGTTGTAGTTGCCTTGTCGTGCCCTTCGTTGATCGATGACGCTGACAACCTACGTGTCTTTTGGCAAGCAACAGCGCATAACTTGACACGACTGGCTAATCTATTTCTGGCTGTCTTTTAAACAATAATTCCAACGCCTCCTCCTCATTCCTGCTAATTGCTATAATCATTTCCTCCAAATTGTCTCATCACCGACACAAAAACTCTAGAAGAAAATCATTATTTGCATCAAATCCATGGGAAAGGCCACGTCTTTCAAGAATGAATTCACATTTGGTTGGTTCTTTCCCCTCATAGTTCATATATATTCTGATGGTTTCTTATTGGTTGATATTGACTTGCGGGTGTCTATGGTTCATAGATGAGAGACTTGGAGAATCAAAGAATATTATTGTCAAGTACCCAGATCGAGTTCCTGTAAGTTCTCTCTCATGTCTCTCTTATTGTTCTGTATTTCTTTTATTTTGAGCTGATTTGATTGATTTATCATGCGATTGCTTCTCTGGTTTTCTTTCTGCAAGCACAATTTTTATTCTTGAGATTTTTGCGCTCTGTCCTTTTTCTTTTCTAATCTGGGTGCTTTCCGGGGTCTCTGTCTTATTTGACATATAGAATGCGCAGCCATATACCTGATCTAGGAGGGCTCGGTGAATGAAAGCTAGCCCCTACCTAAGAAAGAAAAGATTATACGGTTGGAATTCTAAAATAAATCTGAAAATCCCAAAATAGGTGGAAATTCCTCCTCGTGATTTGGATGTGCAAGTTTTCTGAATATACAGATGTTTCCTGTATGTTCTTTTTGTATTGTGATTTGCCATTTCAAGTGTTAAAGCTTCAATAACGATGATTATTTAAAAAAAAAATAATGATGATGAATTTTTAATAGCTAAGGTGGTTGCTCTCTCGTGGCAATCAAAATCATCCTATATGTTTTCTTGGAGAAAATGTTTACTAGTTGATGCAAGGCATTTGTTAAAGGAATCCAGTCATTGTTATCGAATATTGTTGGTCTTGGTTGACTAGGACAAAAAGAAGTAATTTTGGAATTGTATTTAGAATGATGTACCTTTTGTAAGTTACGTAACCTTGCAAACTAAGCCAAAGCTTGATTCCTGAGAAAGCTAAGCTAAATTTGACTTCATCGATGTCATTTAATTTGCAATAAAAGGTTTTTTTTTTTTTTTGTTCTCTTCACCCAATCGAGCTCATCGGTTTTTCTTCGATTTTCTTAAGGTTATTATTGAAAGATATTCGAGGACGGACCTGCCGGCAATGGAAAAGAGAAAGTATGTCTATCTCTCTGATTCCCTTTGTATTATACAACGACAAAATTTCAGCTGTTAATCTGAAACAAAAACAATTTAACCCGCCACCGCCATGTTAATCTTGCATTAATATATCCGGATGGCCCTATTTGACGTATAGATTTCTTAAATTCATAACCAAATTTCTAGACAGCATAATCTGTAAGATTCCAATCATTATCCTTCTCTCTTTTCCAGATTCTTGGTTCCCCGAGACATGACCATCGGGCAATTCATCCACATTTTAAGTAGTAGGCTAGAGTTGACTCCTGGAAAGGCTCTGTTCGTATTTGTGAAGAACACATTGCCTCAAACAGGTAAAATTGGACACCTGATTCACCTCGATTTTGTAGCTTATACACAGCTTTCTTATAGCAACCTGCTAACTCGTGCTATTTATTTACAGCAAGTCCAGCAACCTGCTAACTCGTGCTATTTATTTATTTACAGCAAGTCAAATGGATTCAATCTATGAATCTTACAAGGATGATGATGGCTTTCTGTATATGTGCTATAGCAGCGAGAAAACATTTGGCTAAGCTGTACCTTCCTTTCCCCTGAATAGTTGATTTCTGTCTTTGTAAGTATCAAATAATTCTGTGTGGACATACTTGTGAGGCTCAACGCCAAACTCATGCAAATAAGTGTTCACGTGATTCCTTCTGTAAATTATGACATTCTGTAAAGTACATTAAACCTTCTTTTCACTTCTATAGCCGAATGGATTGACTGGCAATTACCGTGGCCAATGTAATCTTATACTTGACGATTTGTCTGGCAACTGTATTAATATAAACACCGCCATGTCCTCAGTTTTTGCTTGCTTGTGGAGAGAATAATTAATAATGTTCGCTATTTTAATCCAAACATGTTTTCCTAAACAAGAGAATAGGGATGTACCCGAATGGGTTTGTATGATAATGCACATCAGCAGAGAAAAGGTCAGGTCATAGAACACAATGCTGAGCGATGAGAGGTGGAGGGAGGAAAGAGGGGATACCAGGAGGGGGAGTGATGTCGCTGACAACATCTGGCATGACGGTGACAATATCATTCACGGCAACAAAATCCACTTAAAGATGTGCAGGACACGGGAAAAACAAAAATGTTCTTTCCCTATTTGAATGATTTAAGAGAAAGTAGTTATTCAAAACTTCTAGTGGTTGGAGGATATACTACCCTTTGCATGAATAAGCATTACTTTTGAAACTGGAAACAGAATCGATTCTCTAAAATATGTCTGCAGAATGCGCATGTACTATTTCCTTGCAAACTGACAATCTTGCCAGACTTAAACACAACAATATGCGCACGCCAGTACCTACCTGGGGGAATCATTGCATCTTAGATTCAGGAAAACGTCAAACTGAAATCCATGGCATTCGACTAGAATATGCTTTGCATGCCTGTGAAATCACTCTTCTTCCTTTTCATTTAAATATGCATATTATTACTTGCTTAGAACATACACATCAATAACTAGGAAAAACATAGATGAATCTTAAGAATTTAAAGTAAATAGAAGTTCTCACATTCAACCTCGTGATATAATGGATGCTGCACTCAGGCACTGCACCAGGCTAACTGATATCAGAAAAGATGAATCTGATAATATTAACAAGCAAAACAATTAAAAAATAAAAAAAAAAATTATTTTTTTCCAAAAACATTTTTAAAATACAAAAACAAACATAATTGAAAAATAAAAAATATTTTTAATATTAACATAGCAAAACAATATAACAATATTGAAAAAAAGTTAATTTTAAAAAATAAAATTTAAATTTTTTTAAAAAATATTTTTAAAATACAAAAATAAATATAATTAAAAAATAGTTGCTACAGTCTACAGAGCAGCTCAATCAAATTGAGAGCATCAAAGCACTTTCAGCCTAGGTATTTGTCGGATTGTGACGATATGGTCGAACTTCAAATGCTAAACTACACATGCTGACTATATACCTTTGTTTTAATACTTTTAAATTATTTTAACATGCTAGTATAAAAAATAATTTTTAAAAATTAAAAAATATTATTTTAATATATTTTTAAATAAAAATATTTTTAAAAGTAATTTTAACCTACTTCCAAATATATTTTTTAAAAAACATATTTAAAATTGTAATAACAGTGATGTTTTAAAGTATTTTTTACTTATAAATATATAAAAATAATTTTTTTTATTTTTGAAAAGTTATTTAACATCAACACGATAATTTTTTTTATTTTTAAAAATTTATTTAACATCAACACCTCGAAACGATATAAAAACATAAAAAAAATTATTTTAAGCTAAAAAAAATCAAAATTTTTAAAAACATAGTTTACCCAAACACTCCCTAAAACTTGTAACACAACGCCCTAATATTTTTTTATCTTCTTGCATGTTCATGAAAAAAATACCACACTATGTCCTGACAATAAATCTTCAAAATTAATGAAGAGCAGCTGGTGGCCTCGGAACTAGCCAATTTATATATCTCACAAGCTGTGGGAAATTACAAGTACCGTTTCCTGTTCAACAAATGTGATAGATTCATCATGTGCATATCTGCCTAGGTTTTTTTTGACAGAGAAGCATGTAGCATTTCCCATTGATTAGTGTAAATTGGTTAATGAGCCTGATTTGTTTTGTTATTTTCATGCAACCAGAAGCCATCTCGGACCATAGAAAACGAATCAAAGATTACAAATTTAATCATTATTTACAAAGTATTAATAAAAATATTACCAAAACCATTCAGTATAAAAAAGAACAAGTTGGGTTTATCAGCAGGCACAACTAACAACATATTCTCAAATAACCATCTTCAGATCCAACTACAAATAATCGTGAGAAAGGAAGAATACTTATGCTCGATAATACTGAGACGTTTTTTGTTCCATTATCTGCCGCGTATAGTTTCTGAGGTGTGATCCGCTGCTGCCCATCCTGCCAAATGGAATTCATTGAAAACATCTTAGAGAGAAAGAGAGAGCAATGAATGCATTGACGACAGTTGATAAAGTGCATCTGATAAAGAGCTGGGCAATTCTTGGTTAATTATCAGAAGCACTTGTCTATTGGCGGCTTTTAAGAAATCATCAAAACAAATTAACTATTACTACTATAAATATCAGAACAAATCAATCATATGGCACTAGTCTATTTGGCTGCTTTTACCAATTCTGTTTCAATGATTAAAAATTAAATCACTCAGAAAGCCTGATAGTTCCATCACGTTTTTCAATGAGGTGAGAGCATATATTTTCATCTTGTTTTTACGATTAGGCTTGGCATTAATCAGTACAAACAATATGAAAATAAATTCATACATTTGATGCAAGTTATGTGCTTAAACAAGAATCGTTTGAATTATAAGGCTGTTAACGTACTTCTTCTGTAGATCTAGATAAGGTGGAGAGCCCGATCTTGTTTCTGGAAATGGAAATAATGTCTTGACCCCAAACTGAGAAACCAGATACACCATCTGTATGACCTCTTAAAACAGAAGGCTGTGGTGGAGGCCAATTCCTGCAAGAAAAATTAAAAAGTCCATTAAATTGGAAAATAGAATTTGAAAACACAAAATGACATGACAGAAACAAGTCAGAATGGACCATCATGTTTTCAAAGAAATTTATCAGAATACGGTAATGTAAAGGAAAATATTTCAGATTTGTAAGACTAGCATAAAGATAAGTGAGAATGAAAGTTCTAACATTGATCTAGGGACAGGACTCATTAAGAACTAATTGGCAAGGAAAAAAAAAAGACTTGCATACTTAAAACCTAGCAGACACTGTAAAAGTTTCATCAATTTAGTAGTGGCATTTGTATTGTTATAGAATTCACTAGATTATTAGCCCGCGCTGCTCCGCGTGTTAAATATTTTTTTTCTAACCTTGAAAAAAATTATAAAGATGTTAGAAAGTAAAAAATTTGATGCATACTAAAAATATTGAGTCATTGACATATTGAACAACATTTAAAAAAAAAAATATTGAGACAACAATACATTAGCTCGACTCAGGTAAACCATGGTTAACCCCCATGAAAACCCAAGTCAAAACAAAATATAAATCCCAATTCTAATCAACCAAATATTAAAGGCTGAAAATGAAAAAATCATTCAATTAAAAAAAAAACCAAAACAGCCATATTTAAGCCAACAAAAATATCATAAAGTGAGCATATCATGCTTATATTTAAGCAATTGATTTAATTTAATTCGAAACTAAAATTTCTTTTGCAAAAAGCTAAATTTAACAAAAGAACAACAAATGAAAGGCCTAAGATAATGCTTGTCATTTTCAAAATTAGTGAAAGTTTCTATAGAAAGTAAATTAAAAAAAATAACAGAACTCAATTACCAATTAAATTAATGATGAAACTAAAAAAACATGAGCTTTAAAATAAAAATAAACTCAGACGAATCTCCAAACTTAAGTTAATATTTTAAATTCACAACCAATTAAATCCTATACATGAGCTCAATCAAAAAGCTCAATTTAATATTGAAGAATGAAAATGAAAAAAAAAATCAATTTAAAAAATTTGCAAACATAAAAAAATCAATAAAAAATGGATGGAATCATAAAAAAATAAATTTTGAAAATGATCTCAAAGAAAATACATAGCAATCAAAGAAATGTAAATCACATCTGACAGATAAAAATTTCAATTCTATAAATTAATTCAAATAAAATATCAATTGAAAGAACAAGAACGAATTCTGAAAGAAAAACAAATTCAAGGGTTGCCTTGAATTTTTCGAAGGTTGGACATGAAAATTAAGGAGAGAGAAAAGAAGGGGCAAAATGAAGAAAAGTCAACTGGCACCCAATTAGAGAGAATTACACCACACGTTTGCCTAGGGAGGTAGGCCTTGCCATGGCGATTCCAAAAAGACCAAGGAATCTGTTTTTGGCCACCATAAGCTGATGCATGAGCTGCTGGAGCAAGCCAAAAAAAAATTCATTTTAAAGGCAATAAAATCATTTAACTGTGTTGTTTTGAAAAAGCTCCCAAATCCGAGTTAAATAATCTTTTGCTTTTGAGAGGAATTAAATAATTATACTATGAAAAAATATGAAAAGACCGAGCTACCCCGATCAATTCTATAATGACCAATGAACCATTTGAATAGACCACAGTACCCCTAATAGAAAATTCCATTTTTTTTACAAGGAAAAAAAAGTAATTTCACTGATCCAATCCATATTGAATAAAGGCATTTCTAAGTACTTCTCCCACGGGCTTTAGGTTCTTGTTAATTTAAAACAAAATTAAGCTCCATAGATTACATAATAGATGCAATATGCCAGTAAGGGATTTAAAAGCACTCAAAAGATGTAAATAAGAAAATCTGACACTACCTTCTCAGGTCCCAAACTCGCAAGGTCCTGTCAAGAGAACTGGAAACAAGCAAATGGTCCTCCGGTGCAGCCAACTGCATGCATGGAAAGTAAGAAGAATACCACTTCAAATTAAATATCTTTCTTCGGCAATTTAATCATACCTTAGTCACATATCCATCATGAGCCCTCCAAGAGGCAATAACATTTCCACTTCTCAAATCGAATAACCTGCAATGACCAGAACTTAGCCCAGCTGCAACCCAAGAAGGTTGAGCAAAAGCTCCATCTGCTGGCGTTTTGTCAAATCCACATGAGCATATGGCAGAGACAAGAGAAGGAAAAGAAAATTCAGCAGATTCACCCCTCCAAAGATGAAGTTTTCGACCTTGGGAAACATCAATAAACCTGTGCAGTTGAGTAAACTTTTTAAACTATTAACTGCATCATAATAAGACTGTTCTCCGCATCAACTCAAGATGGA